GCTTCTTTTAGATTAATGACAAAACCCAAGAACTATATCTTAAAGTAAGGATGTTAAGTCAGAGGCAGATGCTGGCTAGAAGGGACAATGACACATAAGAAAGGACTACAGATAGCCCAAGATAAGTCTGGTCATTGACTTGCAATGTCACACCTAAAGTCTCAGTGTTCTGTTCAGTCCAGTAACTGCAGCCTGCAGGATCCTTCATATATAGATACAGCTATCCAGAGAGCTTCAGCTCAGAGTGGGCTCTGTTCTGCAGTCTGTTTAAAATGGCAGGTGCATCTCAGAGTGTATGGTCCTCAGCCTCCTGGTGGACTTGAGGTGAGATCACCAGGAGGCCTCTGCTCTAAGCCGCATTCTCAAACAGAGGTCACAGAAAGTCTGACATTTCTTCAGTTGACAGTAGCCGGGGACGTGAGAGTTCAACCTGTTAATGCTCTAGGACACAAATCCATTTCTCACATAGAGATAGAAACAGCTTAAGGACTAGGCTCTGGGGATCTCATATTATTTGAATCTTAAATTGCTGATAATCTTTTGGTTCTGCTTTTTTCAAATTCAAGGGTTCTCAGAGTGATAGTAGCTTGACAGACAAGGTTTCAATAATTTCAAAGTACAGTTTAGAATAAACACTTGCTTTCAAAAAAGATTCCTTATTTAACCTTCTTCCTTTCCAGACTTAATTTTGAAGCCCACATAACTGGAGAAATACTATTTAGATTGTCTTCTAAGAAAGGACACAAAGGACAAGACATTCATAGTTGTCCACTGTTTCAGTGATTATGGCGGGCAGAAAAGCCTTTTTCTGCAGCTGCCATGACACAGTGTTCCCGGTGGCAATTTTAATTGAGACTTTCAGAACCTGGCTATGTTCCAACAGACAATTCTTTCCATACCCTAAGTGTGGCTGTCTCAAAGGTTTGGGCTTGAATTGACTTAGATGAGACAAAGAGGCAACCATAGTCTGCTTGGAATTTTCACTTCATTTTCATACAGAGTCCATGAATCCCTGTCTTGAATTCCATCCTCTCCTGTCATGAAGAAAAGATGGGTACTAAGGAGAGGCAAGGAACTTGGTACAGTTCCTTGTTGGTTTATACAAAAGCAAGCTAACTTCCTTCCCTCTTTCCTTCTGCTTTCCCCCTGTTCTTTCCTTACTTGGTACAGTTCCTTGTTGGTTTATACAAAAGCAAGCTAACTTCCTTCCTTCTGCTTTCCCCCTGTTCTTTCCTTACTTGATTTATTGGGACACTGTCTCACCTGTAGCTCAGAGTGGCCTGGAATTCACTAGATAGCCCTCATATTCACATTGGTTTTCTTCCTAAGAGGTGGGATTTCAAGCACAAACTGCTACTCCTGGCCATACGAAACTGACTTAATCCAAGTCATGGGGCAGCCTGTTTCAGGGAAGGGAACTAGAGTAGTTAGTTGGTGGTGGAAGACCTAGGGTGACTTTACAGAAAGAGGCAAATGTATTTATCACATGCACACGTGAAAGGAGAACAAAGAAGGGGAAGTTCTCACACTTTTCGGCTTCAGAATTTCTCTTGGCTACAGAGGTTCTTTGATTCTCTTGTGACTCCCCTTGTCTTCTCCCTGCCCCTGGCTCCAGGGTTCCTATTCCATACCAACCAGGAAGCCTACAGGGATTTAGGCAGTTACAGCTACTGGGGCCAGCCTGCACCCCCTCTACCTTGCCTGTGGAGACCAAAGGTCAGTGAATCAATTTTTCCCTTAAGACTACTCTCTCACCATGTCCAGGACAGAAGAGAGGCCGATGGGCCAAAGCTTGTTTTTATTGAAGACGCATCCTCCAGAAGTTAAGAGGTGCCATGCTATAGACAAAAGGGAGGTGATTGCAGGGAACAGGTGAGAATAGACAAGATGGCAATCGAGGGGTGTCTGTATGGGCCCCTCCACATTCCTAAGGCCGTGGATAGAATGCCATTGCCTCTTTCATGGCTTGGGGATAACAAGGCTAAATGACAGACACAATGTCAGGCTCACCTGGATGCTGCAAAGAGCATGGAACAGAATCCTTGGGTGTCTCTTCTTCCAGGTGGCCGGCCTCTCCTGTCTGGGCTTGCAGCCCTCTTATAACAGCAGTGCTCACTGCTGGCTGTAGATTCAGTAACACTGGCTGGGTGCCACTCCCTCCTGAGAGCAAGATGTGCTCCACCCTGGCTTACCCTGGCAGCACAGGTTCCTCTCTTTGATTCTTCCTCTCGGTTGGCCTCTGTGGACAAGCTGAGACAGAACATATGGATGCCAGTAAACCAGGCAGATCTGTCCTTTCTCTTTCTTATCTCATTTGCATGTAGCTCATTTATGCATACTCATTTATATATGCTTATATGCTCATTTGCACACAGCATCTTGGGTTGAGCACCTTCAACTCAGTTCCCTATAGGTTTTGAGACTGGGATTTAAAGGCATGTAATAACTTCTCTTAGGGCTGTGTTTTGCATTCCAGTGGTGGTTAGTTTTGTTTTATTTCTTTTTGTTTTTTGTAAACTGGACACAAGCTAGGGTCATCTGGGAAAAGGGAACCTCAATTGAGAAAATGCCTCCATTAGATAGTCTGTAGGTGAGTCTGTAAGGCATTTTCTCGATTAATGATTGATGGGGAGCACCCAGCCATTGCAGAGAGGCGCTCCTCCTGGGCAGGTAGTCCTGGGGGTATGAGAAAGCAGGCCGAGTGAGAACAACTCAGGAAGCAGTGTTTCTCCATGGTCTCTGCATCGGTTCTTCTCTCCAGGTTCCTGTCTTGAGTCCCTGCCCCAACTTCCTTTAATGAGGGACTATGATCTGGATGTATGAGCCAAACAAACCCTTGATTCACAAGTTGTTTTGGTCATTTCAATAGAAACCAAACTAAGACAAAAGGAACTTGTTTGGGGTTCCACACCCCACCCCCATTCCTGTGAGGATGTGACATAGGGAACAGCACAGTGCCTTCCTTTTCCGTTGATAATCTTCCTACTGTCGACATCTACCTCCTGTTACTGCAAGTTAGGGTCCGGAACAGGCATTCCTGGGTTCTTGGCATCTTACCCAAAGAACTGAAGACAGGGCTTACACAGATTTACAAAAGAAGCAAGGTAACTCAGTCTGGGCAAAGCTGTAGTGCACACTGTAGAGGGAGACACATTGTCAAGATGGACAGCTAGCCACAAAAGTGTCAGCACTCCCGAGGGTCAGAAGGGCCGGAGGGCAACTCCTTTTGTTCTGTGGACCTAGGGAATTGAACCCGGGTCATCAGGTTTGGCAGCAAGCCCACTTACTCTCTGAGCCACCTCGCCAGCCTCTTCCCTTCTTTTAACAAATGAAAATTATATGGTCTTTCCAGGGGTGCCTTAGATGGTATTGTAAGCTGGTAATTAAAAACAAACAAAAAATGGGGCAAGGAGTTGAAAAAGAGAGTCAAAAGTCTATCTTTTGCTGTAAATGGGCTTTTGAGATCCCTAGCTTTGGTAACTGGGAAAGTAGAACGGCCGTTTGCACTGAGGCCTCAAGACAGCACCTTACTATGGTAATGTTACCATTTAAGCATCTATGGAAGAGGATTACTGCTTCTGTCCAAACCTTCCCAGCCACCGCCATGACTGGGCTTCCATCCTCCACTCTCAGCAGGCATGAGGCTTTGACCAGACTCACGGGTGAGCCGCCCCTTCCTCTACCCAAGTCTCCTTGTCTTTCTGCACTGCCTTGTCTCAGCATCCTTCAGAGCCTTTAAAAGGATTGTACAGCCGGGCAAACTTCCCATGCTCCTTCTCACCCACTTGTCACGTCCCTTTACCGGTAGAAGAGTGAAATGGTTGTGGTAAGACAATCAAGGGACTTGTGTTTTCTCACATGGAGAAACCATGAGAAGAGACAACCAATGTGACTGACTCAATGGTGACTTAAAAAGCAGCAAAACAGGAAGCTGTCAGGCTTTGAATTTGCATTATCTTGTAAATCTAACGACTCAACCTGTGGGCTTGCAAAGAATGAAGGTGAGGCTGCTGGCAAAGGCTTGCAAGCAATCGCTGACAGGCTGCACAGCATCTTGAAAATTAGTCATCGCAGATGACTGCCAAGGGGGCGGGGCATAAGAACATCTGCAATGCACACAGATACCCCCTGCCAAGCACAGAGAAATCCAGCTCCACAATTCATAAGCAAAGAAGCTGAGGCAGGGGAATGGTTGATAAATTCTCCCAAACTGCAAAACTAGGTTTTTGATGGGTTGACTTCCAGGGTCTATGTAGCTCAGGGAGACCTTGAATTCACATTGATCCTCTTGCCTCAGTTTCCTGAATGGGAGCATTCCAGGCTGGAAAGCCCGTAAACTGGGAGTTCCTAAGGCTATATGTTTGTCCCAAAGCCTTTGGTGATGTGCTTGGATTCTATGAACTCAGTGAGTTACATGATAGAAATGGGGTCCTAATTCAATCAGAATAGAAACCTGACATCAACACTCCTCCATTTCCACCATGTGGTGAGGTTCTGGGACTCCGCAGCATACCTGGCTGCATGGTGATTGGTTGTTAAAAGTAAGAAAGTGTTGTTTGCCAAGGAACAAGAAAAACTGGAGGTACCACCATCTTGAACATCTCCTTCTTTCTTGCCTCCCCCTTCCCCTGTCTCCCTTCCTCTCTTCTTTTCCTCAACATTCCCAAATACCATAGAATTGACCTAGAATTTCCCTTTAGATTATTTTAGTTGAAGGACTATGCTGTGACTAAAAATTATTAAAAAGTCAAAGGATCTGTGCTTCTCCATTTAAGAAATAGCCCCATGAAGTCCTGTCTGTCCATCCTTATCCTGTGGGAGGCTCTGGTGGGAAAGGGGAAACCCGAGTGGGTGAAAGTCGGGGTCTATACTTGCCCTTTCAATCTGGAAAATATCGATGTGGTAAATCTAACTGTTTTATCATCAATCTACAGTTTGCCAGTTATACAGCCTGAGAAATCATGCTGGAAACGGGAGGGGCATAGAGTCTACATATCAGCACCCTGCTTGCATGTTTGACCTCCGTGGAAGGTCTCTACCCAGAACGAATCGTTTACAGACAGTCTTCGATGATGAAACCACCCTCTCGAGTTTGAAAAGAGACGAGGCTGCTTTAAGAGAGAAACAGGAAGTTGTAACTAGAAGCCCTCTGAATGCTAAGCCATCTGAACGCTTGTGAAGTAGCAACAAAGTAGCAGCGTTTATTCTGAAATTCCGTGGCTGCCAGTCTGTCCTGGACAAATCTCTTCAAAGTGCTCATCCCTCACCCAGGGATTTCTGAGCATCACGTTTCAGCTAGTGGAGAATGGCGGGGCAGCTTCGGCTTACGACAGGCAAGGATGAAGATCACTTCCAACACCAGGGAGCAGTGGAGCTGCTTGCCTTTAATTTTTTGCTCATCCTTACCATTTTAACAATATGGTTATTTAAAAATCATCGATTCCGCTTTTTGCATGAGACTGGAGGCGCGATGGTGTATGGTGAGTGTGTAAATGGTGGGATTGATGTGAAACTTGTTGCCTGGGTGTAATTAGAGACTTGTGCTCAGATGGCAAAGTACCGAAAGTGAGGAGAAGATGCTGACTGAAGTGTCATTAGCTTGATGGGAGGTGCTGCGATGTTATGAATGTTAGCCTCTTTCTAGAGGAGCAGCAGAAAGTTGCCGGGTCACAGAGCCGCTGTCACAGTCATGTTCTGAGGCAGCACTTTATATGAGTCTGTTGAGGACAGCTGCAGTCCTTTGTCATGCAGGGAGTCAGGATAGTGGGGTGTGGTAGCGGTGTGGTCAGGGCAGCCTCTATCTCAGGCAGCCAGAGGATGGTGCAAAGTTAACCAAATCTCTTCAGATTCACTGAAGGAAAGACTCTTCCAACTATTTTCAAGAAGAAATGCTTGTAGAAACAGATCCCACCCCTGTTACAGGAATAATTGTGTCAAATCCCTTTCATCATATGAACATTATTTTAGCTTCTGATAATAAAAGTGTTAAACCAAGAATTTCCTATGCAATATTTCCCATTGCTTAGCCTGAGCTCATATTATTTTGTTTATAATACTAGTTTATGCTCTCACACACTTTCTGTTGCTTCTGCATTCTTTTTTAACTTTTAGGCAGGGTCTCACTCTGTAGCCAAAGTTAGCCTCACACTCACACTGATCCTCCTGCCTCAGCTTCCTGAGCGTTGGAAGAATAGGTGTGAGTAACAATACCAGATTCTTTTAAGCCACATGGAAAAGTGTTAGTTTAAGATTTAACCTCCCAAAGTGATGCTCCTTCTGTGCAAGTTACTATGTCATCCATCCTTTTTGGAAAGTTTAATAAAATGGATTATGCAGTAATTACAGACTAGACTGGATTATCTAGTTTTTTAAGGTAAGATACGAGGCACCTATACTGAACTGCCAACTGGCTTCACAATCCTTATCCCACCAAGTAAAAAATAACAACTTTGAACACAATGCTGAGAGTCTGGGGGCTGCCAAAATGCACAGTGAAGAACATATTTTTTGGCTTCCCATAATTTCAGAAGTCCTGAGGCCCCATTTATACGCCTGAGGTTCAAGGAATAAGATGAGTGTACATCATATGTGCTAAGCATGTGATGTCCTGATGGTAAGCATATAAAGCCCTGAAGTGGAACATGAGAAATCCTATCCTTAACCAGATCTGCTTCAAGACACCTGAGCCATAGAACAGACATTGGGGGCCAAGCAGTGCAGGTGGTTTTCAGGCAGCGCATTCAGAGCAGAGTTAAGCTCCTTGTAGTGAGAGTCTCACAGCACACAGCAAAACTTTTGGAGTGAGGGTTGAACTCTGAGGAGAGGTGCCTAAACAGAAAGGTGTGGCATGGCGCTTTCAGAGGCAGGGAGGCCAGGGCATGAGTCATCCTCTCTTTTTCTGTAATCGATTTACCAGGACCTTTCTCTGTCTTGGGTAATAAATAATCAAAAAGACACAGGATGTAATCTGAGAAGCCAGGAACAATGCCGCCCTTAGAGTCAAAGCATCAAATCCAAGGGCGGTGTATACCTTATGATGCATCACACATTTAAGGCTAGGTCCTTATTAGAGGGAAGATTAGCCCACAGCCTTATAATTCACTTGCTTGAATTATGATTATTGTTACCAATTTCCTTCTCTACTGTAGGGATATTGTTTTATAAAAGTAGTTAGAGTCTGACTGAATTAATTTTGACTAGTAAGCCGGCACAGAGGTCCTCCCCAAGCTGAACAGCAGGTGCCGTGGTCCTCCCATGTGTTTTCCTACATTTCTAGCTGTCACCTTCCAGGCTAGACTCTGGAAGGAATCCGTCAGGATGGCCTCCACATTCTTCTTCTGGGACAACCAAAATGCTGTACTTGAAGTGCTTCATGCTTTTAGTTAGGGATGTAATGAAATAGTCAAACTAAAACCTGGGGAGAAGAGGAGCCCCAAGAACTACCTGTTACTAGTAAGGGGGAGAGAACCCCAAATGCATTAGTTGCCCAGTCTTTGTAAAGGAATATGGAATTCCTACAGTGGAATGGGACCTCAGCAAACAGAATCCTCATTGTACAGAGGAAGTGGAACTTCTGGAGGTCACAGTGTTAGTTTGGAGGGGTGTTCAGCATGGCTTTTAACTAAGGATGCTAAGATAGTAATAGTAAATCCGTCAGGACATGAGAGAGAGAGAGAGAGGTGAGTGTATGTGTGTGTGAGTGTGTGAGTGTGTGTGTGTGTGTGTGTGTGTGTGCGTGCACTGCGAGCAGGGCGTGGGCGGATGGTGGAGAAATACAAAAGAGCAATCACTAAATATGGCTCCTGCTGTAAATGCTTTAAGGATATAGTTGTTGGGTATGTGATTGCTTGTTTGTTTGTTTGTTTTCCAGCAGATCGAACAAACTGAAATGCCAGGGTAAACCCTTTCTCCATATGAGGAGGAAGGTGTTGTTTCTATAGTAGTCTGGAGAGACACATAATGAGGACCAATGGACAAGGAAGACAAACTTAGACATTCTAATTGTCTTGTTTTATGAAGACAGACACAGTAAACTGCAGCACCACCCCCATCCCCCACAACAGGCTTGCTGCCTTAAAGTAGACTGCAACAATTCTCTCTACCCTTCAGGCTTGCCACAATGCGCTACGGAGAGTAGCCTTTTTCTTCAGGCTTATCAGGGAATTAGAATAGCAGCCCCTACTTTTCTGCTACAACTCTTACCTTCACAGGCTGCTTGCACAACCTACCATCAGTCCCTATACTGAGACCGGTATTTTCTTCAAGGCACCACATTCCCTGTATTCCCTCAGCCCAGTCCACCACCTGCCTCTCTACGGACATTCTGGTGACCTGTGCTAAATGTCCCTTAGAAGATTTAATAGATGTTGATACATTTAATCAGTGGACTTGGGAATCCAATTTAAGAAATTCTAGGATCACAGGCTTAGAAAATGAGCAGTTGGAGGATAAACGAGGGGCAATGTGAATGTTGAACAATTCTTTCATAATTATTGTTAGAAACAATTTTCAAGTTGTTAACCTTAAAATATCATATTCATAGTTGTAGGGGCAAGAAGTTTCCTCTGTGTTGATTGGAAATAAAACCGAAGATACAAATACAAGTAATTGCTTATACAAAAAAAAAAAAAGGTCTTCTCTCATTATTACAGGTCATGGAATGCTTTCAAAACTTAGCAGCATCATTGTAGCAATATTTTTGCTTCACCAGGCATAGTAAAGGGTAATTGTCGCTCGTGACATCCTATGGCTCTGCTTATTTCAAAATGGAAGAATAAGCAGCAGTAATAATCATTTAAACTGGACTAAAAGCCAGAATGAGCCTTAATGGTCAAAATATTGATTGACAGCAGCTGGAACACTTAGTGCTGTTTATTTGGGGCCTGGCGTCATCTCCTCATAAAAGAGCACTTGTTCTTGGTCCCTGATAGCATCAAGGAATCCGTTGTCTCTCCCTGGGGGCTGTCATATCCTGCAGGACATTTGTAATGTCATACCTTAGAGAATTGGGATTTAAGATGGGGGGCAGAACAATTTAAACATCTTAGAGTTCTATCTTTGGTTTTATAGTCATCCAATTGGACACTGCCCTGAATCCAGGTAGAAATTTGCTCATCATTTAGTAGGACCCAAGGAAATTCCATGCCTCTATACTTAGACTTTTGAGTTCCTCAAAAGCCCTACCATATTAAAATGTTTTCCAATCCCTGAAGAATCTTATTAGCTAAAATTTAATAGAGCAATTTAATTTAATCAACAGCTAGGTTTATTTTTTTCAGGTTTAAAGAACCCATAGTCACAAAACTGTCTTTCCCCAGATCTTGTGTAGGCGTTGATTCCATTCCATCCCTTCTCAGAGGTTCCAGGATGAAAATAGGCTACTGGTCCACTTTCAGCCCAGCCTGTGCCCCTGACAGCCAGACCTACAGAGGATGCTCATCACTGCTCCCCCTCCGTATCCACCTGAGTGGTCTTTCTTAGGCACTTTGCCTGTTGAAAGCTGGCAAACTCTGTAAAGAATGAACCCATGCTCTCTCTCTCTCTGGGGATTACTGCTTTTAAGGCTGATTCACTCTTCTCTGTCTCTGTCTCTGTCTCTGTCTCTGTCTCTCTCTCTCTCCCTCTCTCTCTCTCTCTCCCTCTCTCCAGTGTGATGTTTCTGGTCTGATTTTCCTCACCTGTGAAATCAGGAGGAAATGGCCCAGATGGACATGAGTCAGACGTCTTGGAGCTACTTCCATTCAATCCAGTAGCTTTCCTTATGGAGTCAAATAAGCAATCATGACATCTGGTCCTTTCTCCTAGACACGGTTTTATTTAGCTGCATTGATTTAACACTCTTAGTTCTTCCAGGCCTGCTTTGATTTTTAATTGGGCCCTCAGTAAATCTTACTGAATTTCTATTGGGATTCCTCGATAGGAAGCAACTCCCTCAGAGCACTTAGGGTTGGCTGTGGTGTGCATATCTGTAGGTCCCTTTCTCACTAGACCAGAGTGGCTCTGCCTTAACATGAAGGATCTGCAGGTCAGGTAGTTAGGATCAGGATTCCCCCACTGTGCTCTGAAAGCTTGATTTGGGCACCCCAGAGGTCTTCCCAAGGTTTTCCACAATGTATGATGTCTGCTAAATTAAATAAGTAGAGGAATGGAATCAAGGACATTTATTCTACGTAGTATGTTATAATGGGGCATCCTGATACACGCCTGTAATCCTAGCACTTAGGAGGCAGAGGCAGGAGGATCAACACAAGTTTCGTTTCACATCACTCTGATTTGCACAGTAAGTTATGGGCCAGTGCGGACTGTGAGTTAGACTCTGTTTCAACAAGGGCAGGAGAGATAGCTCAGAGGTTACGACTCTGCTTCAAAAACCAGAGGGGAGGGATTTTTTAAGTAAAATAAGCTCTGTATTCTAAATAAACCTGCGTATTGTGCTAGGGTTTGGAACCTCCGGAGTCGTACAGCGTTGACCTGGCTGCCC